GGTAAGGGGTGTGGAGGTGGCAGAAGGACTGAGTATTTTAATGCGTCTCTTTCTGTACAATGCAATTCGTCTCTTTCTGTACAATGCAATTCGTTGCCAAAATGCCCAATCAAAAGATTTAAAGTGAAGTTAAAACAAAGCCAACAAGCTTACCGGCCGTGACTCCGAAGGTGAGGAAGAGGCAGTGCACGTTGGCGGCGTAGGCGCTCAGCACCCAGCCCAGCGAGTTCACCAGCCCCCCGACGATGGCCGTGCGGCGGCAGCCGCAGGTGTTGATGAACAAGCCGATGAAGGGCCCTGCGCACATGGAAAGGGATTGGCTCAGGCAGGTCACTGTCCTGCTTGCTTAGCAAGTCCTCATACGAAGACAAAAAGTAAAACGTTACCAGAGCTGTGAAATAAAACATACCCAAACCCCCATTGCTTTCTGTATGCATTTATTTATTTTTTTAGCAAGAGAAAATAACCAAATTTAATATACACACATGTTTGGGAATCCCGCACACATGAGAGAGTCAGAGACCCCACCTGCACGAGAGGTTCAGGCAGAAAGGGGGACCTAGGTATACAAGACATTCTGAGCCAGGGATGAGGTCATGCACCTTGGGGCCTTCAAGGGGTCAAAATCCCGTTGCTTGATATGCAAAAAGCTTCTAGCACGCAAAGATGGATTTTAATAACCTCACTGGAGAGCACAGTGTGCTAGGTTTTCAAGGAAGGTAGACCTGAAATAAATAGAGGAGCTGGTTCATTCTCTTGCCTACAACAGAAGTCTGAAACTAGTGGTCTAGGGGCTCTATTCAGCCTATCAGTGATTTTTGTTTATCCCAAACAATGTTTTGAATAATTTGTCACCTTTAAAATTAAGAGAATTCAAAAGAGTTCAGTGGCAACACAATATCTTCCCACACGGCTCAAATCAGCTGGAACTGTGCAGGGGCTGATCCCTTTGGCTGCATCACACCCTCTCTAGTTTGTCACAGTCTCCACCCTTCCTTTTAGTCTTATATCCGGCCTCGGGCCCTCGTTTACATTACTTATTTGGCCTTAGTTTTTGACTCCAGACCTAAAAGGAGTACAGGACGGGGGTTCTCAGGACTCCTGTGCTTCAGGCAAGGAACCTATAGCCTGTTTTCGTGAGGACTCCGAGATGCTAACCAAGCTGAAAAGGACTCATTGGACTGGACCCATCAGGCTATGCATTTATGACACCATGTGGAGATTCAGGGACACACTCGGTTATGCAAGATGTCCCAATACTCATGCATTCTGACTGCTTGCTTTACTATGACGCTCTAGTTTTTGTCAACCTTCTTTTCCCCCCGATTTTGTGGTAATTTCTGATGTCACTGAAGCCTAATGCTTGCCTCGTGATCAAGGATTCCTTGTCCAAATAGCAACCCAGATTTTAGCAATAAGCATGAGGCCATGCTCAGCATTCAGTAAGATGGTACATTTTAAATATCATCCTTTTTTTTATCATTACTTTACATAGTTATGAGACTCTGTAATCAGGTGGGACTATATCAGGTTAAAAACTTGTTGAACTCTAAGGACCTTCCCCTTTTAGCCCAAACAGAAAAATGTCCTGTAGAGTTCTAACTACATTCATGTGCATATTTGAGTACATGGTCAGCTAAAAGTGTTTTTTTGTTGTTTGTTTTTTTGCTCTAATGGTTTTGAGCGGGCCTAATCCTAAAAATTATGAAGGAAAAGACTTATTCATTTAATTAACCCTGTCGCATTACAGAAAATAATTCAGTAGATAACCCTCTTAGATATAATATAGTAAATATATTCTAGATAAGTGTACTCTTATAGGAATTATAAAATAAGCACATTATACAAATATATAAACTAAGCACATTGATAAACATCTGAGGGAATTATTCGGGACAACTGAAATTAACAAATCATAAGTTGAAGATATTTCTTTGATTCCTTTACAAACATTTTTATTTTTCTAAACCCGTGGTCATTCCACTACTCGAATCCAGAATGAACGGCTTTAAAAGAGAAAATGCATGACTCATGGCTTTGCTGTTAATAGGCCTTTTAGGATATGAAAGGTCAACAGATCACAGCGCAGTAGCATGAACATATTTTCCACATTACAGGAGGCCCAGAAGCAAGTATTTCTGCGTGCTCATGAAACCTGCATGAAGCAAGCATTTGAAGAAAAAGGGGGGGAAATTCCCAAGTGCAGATATTCCTGTCTGCAGGGATATTACATATCAGAAAGCAAGCATTTATCGCTTTACCAACAGGAACATTAGTGGTAACGGGGTCTGGCCTTTGGTTCACTGGCTCTCGCCCCATTCTCGCTGGAGCTCGGTCATTTATGATTTGCAGATGGGCAACGTCAGGCCCAGAAATGCTGCGAGTGACTCCATAGTTCCAAACTGTAGATACGTCAGAAAAAGGGGGTCAGACCCAGGTTTTCGGGCTGTTCTATTTCTGCCCGTTGTTTCCTGGGGGTCAGCGGCACCTCCGAGCTGGACCTGCTATTTCAACAGACGGAAAGGCCTCCGCACGCAGCCGGAGGGTGGGGAGACTGAGACCCAGCCCTCTGGGGACAACCCCCACTTTCACAGAGGGAGTCATCGCTTTGGAATGAGATTATCTTCATTAGCAAGCCATCTTCTTCCTCAGAGGGACTCCAAACTTCAGCCCATTTCCCACACAAAGTGCCGCACTGTTGCAAGGAACAGCCTGAGGAAGCCCTAAGCTCTCGGCCACCCCGGCATCTCATAGGCTAGAAACAGCTCCGCGGGGAGAGAAGCCGCCTGGGGTGAGGCCTGGCATGAAGTCACGCACGGGACTAGATAGTCACTGCACCCCTGGCCTTGGAGCACAACCCCGCAGGCAGTAGGTGTGAGGGGCCTCTGCCTTGACTGAGCATTGGGGTCACTTAGGAGCTCTAGTAAAACACCTCCCTCCCCCCAGATCCGGATGCTGGGTCTCAGCCCAGGAGACTGATGTCATGGTCCAGGTGCAGCCCTAGCATCGTGGTTATTAAAAGCGCCCAGGGGGCTCTGACGTGTAGACACGATTGACACCCACTGATCTAAATCTGCTTGGCAAGTCAGTGACCTTGTGAGCCCATAGACTCCCCTAACAGCGTGGCTTCCACCGAGAATTATTCCGAGAACCATCGCAAAGGCCGCTGTAGATCAGACTAAGGTGTTAAAAATGGTTAAAAATTGGAAGTTTCTGCAGGAAACTAGCAAGATCCATGCTACCAAATTATCAAAAGCAAGAATGAAATTACTGAATTTCCCATGTGCAAATCATTGCACAACAGAGAGATGGCTTTCAAATTTACCACAGGGCTCACAGATTTTTTTTAATTTAAAAGAGGTAACCCAATTGTGCTTACAATGATTAGAAAATAAAAACAATTCGTATTTCTCTACTTCAAACATATTTTTGGTTTTTATTTGAACTTGCGGCAGGCAATGTGGCACAGTGGACACCATTTCGGAGTCCAATGGTCCAGGTTTAAAGCCTGTCCCACGCTTACTGGCTGTGCAACCTTAGGTAAATTACTTAATGTCTCTGAACATTGCACGTTCTTCCTGTCAGGTGGAGATGATGGGCTGGCCTCCAGCACTGCCGCAGGATCAAATGAGAGATCATGCACGTAATATGCGCTTGGCATGTGATGAGTGCTAAATAAAGGGGGCTCGTTCTTGATGGCTTCTGACTTGGAAAAGCACTCAACACATCTGCGGCCCCTTGTACCAGTCAGCTCAAGACAATGAACAGCCATTTAGGGTCATGATAGATAGAATCAAAGACCTTTCGTTGATACAACTATGAGCCTTGACGTGTTAAGATTTCTGAGCCCCACAGCAAACAATGTTTCCCAGGTACCTTTCCTCTAGAAAGGTTAGTCTACAATCTGAAATTCCACTGTCTGGAATTCAGGGACTCTGGGCACTCAGAGTTCTGAATACAGTGACTTCCCAGTTAAAGTGAAGGTGACAATGGCATTTCACCATCATTATGGGTTAGGGGTTCTCATTTGGGGAGTCATCTTCAAAACTACATCCAGTCATATCGGGACTCATTTCCATTACTTAAGACAGCCTTCTCGGGTGGTTTGGAAAATGTTACGACATTTCAGCCCCTGGCATTTTGAGAATCCTTTGTTGTAAACACACACTTCCTAGATGGGGTCTATAAGTACTTTGCTCTACCCCTTAACATTTTTATTTTTTAAAAAGTAAAAAAAAAAACCCCAACACGTGATTTTAAGTATTCTAGAAGAACAGTTTTCTTTTACTGACTTATTGAGAAGGTAGAATTACATCCACCACAAAACCAGCACTTTCCCTACACCACAGTAAACCTACCTGCGTTTTTCATACGACAAATAGTCCTAGTTTTAGGCCAACGAACACAGGGTTGAAGGAATCAGTTCATCAATGTTATAGGCAAAAGTGACTTCTCAACATTTCTCTCAACATTCCTTATTTAATTTTAAATAATTTTAAAACTAGATCAGTATTAATTCCCTTTGATAAACACACATGCCCCACCCATATCTTGGGAAATAACACTTTGTTCTTGTTTTCTGTCATGAGTACTACACTGTACTAATATCATGCGTATTACCCAAAATAGCATTGATTGTGTGCCAGCCAAGATCAGCAACTCTCTGAGTTGGATTTAAGCAAATACTTGCTAATGTAGAAACCATGGAAAAGTCACAGACTCCCATCAAACACACATACACTTGCCATACACATACTCTCACAAAACCAGAAAAACATTTGAGGTCATTTACGTTTCCAGTATAAAATAGATCACAAATACATTAAATAAATAAAAAATTGACATAAAAGTATAGCTGTTCTTTTCAAGTGAAACAAGTGAACATTAGGGAATAGTGATTGTTTGTTAAGAGAATTAAATGAAATTAAATGAACTAATGTAAAGGAAAGCGCCTGGTATATAATAACTGCTTAATGAGTATTAGTTGACAGCGAAAGCTGCTTAGTTCCCAAAATGAAATACATCTGGGAATGAAATAACATATTACATTTATAATAACTTTCTGGTTTAGTATTTTCAACTGGGTAAGAATTGGTTTCATAGATTGCCATGTGGGTGGCTTCCCTAGAAAATGCAAGAATATATTATTATTCCTTCCTTCCTGTTTGCTATATCAGTAACCTTTCTAAAAACAGTTTAATAGATTTTCCAATAACATACGATCGATATTTCCAATTAATTAGAACTCTGAAATAAGATTATTAGTTGAGTTTTATACTGTTTTCTCTAAAATTTTTATCTTTTAGAAATATTCATAAGTGTTAAAGAAACAAATATTGTAATGATATATAACTGTGTTGTAACAGTTAAGAAAACAGATTTGGGGGCAAAAGAGAGTTTTAAAAATGATCAATTTAAAAAAAACTCCAAATGTTTATAATATGCAAATAGTAATATCACACAAAAGGACAAATATTGCATGATTCCACTGGCATGAGGTCAAATTCATAGAGACAGAAAATAGAGTGGGGGTGACCAGGGGTTGGGGGAGGAGGAGAGGGAGTTACTGTTTGATGGGTCCCAGGTTTCAGTTTGGGAAGACAAAGTTCTGGAGACGGATGGTGCCGATGAATGTACTCAAAGGCGCTGAACTATATACCTAAAAATGGTTAAAATGGTAAACTTTATGGTATGTGAATTTTACCACAATAAAAAAAAAAAAAAAGTAGCCTGCCTGGGCGTGGCTCAGCGGTTGAGCATCGACCTAGGATCCAGGCGATCGGGGTTCGATTCCCGGTCAGGGCACATGCCCGGGTTGTGGGCTCGATCCCCAGTCAGGGGCGTGCAGAAGGCAGCCAATCAATGACTCTCTCATCATGGATGTTTCTCTCTCTCCCTCTCCCTCCCTCTCTCTGAAATCAATAAAGATATATTAAAAAAAAAGAAAAAAATTTAAAAAACAATAAAATAAAAAGTAACATCACTAACACTACTGTTTCAACAATAGAAAACATCCCTTACGGGGGGCGTTGCCATTTTATAATTATTCGGTTTTACGGCAGGTCTCGGGCAAACATACCCACAATCAAGGTGATGCCCATGCTGAGGGAGCTGACCCAGGCGGTGAGGCCGCGGCTCTGGTGGAACTCTTCCAGCCACTCCACATTGAGGACGCCCAGGGCCATCTGCGAGCCCATGATGAGAATGTGCACAAAGAAAGAGGCGAGGACCATCATCCAGGCCCAGCCGCCGTCGATGTCCGGGTGGGGCTTGAGGGTCTTCTTATCTTTGGGGTCATCTTCGAAATCATACCCAATATCTTCATGACTTGTATACATTTTCCAAGATGTTCTGAAATACAAATGACAAATCATTTCATTGGGTATCAAAACACAACAAAACAATCTTCATCTTCTTTGGACAGCTCTCCCCCCTCATCATAAACAAAGCAACAACACTCCCCCCCCCCATCATCAGACCTCCAGGTGAATCTTCGTTATTATGCAGAGTCGGGAACACTTCTCACCTTTTCTCAGGACCGAGCGCTTTCATGAAACTTGTTTAATCTTCAGAGTCATCCTATATGTATTATAATCCCTGTTTTAAGCACATGGAAATACAGAAGGGAGGCCACCTTCCCAATGTCTCACGGCCAGCAGGTATGCGGTCAGACAGGAAACCGGGATTCGAACCCAGCTTCCTGGTGCTAAAGCTCATACCTGTGTCCCTCACTGAGATGGATACTGACAGGTGATGAGAAGGACATCAGAGACGGAAGGCACCTGGCTTCAGGCAGCCTTCCAGGGAGCTTCGCCTTCGTGGGGCCCTGGCCTAGATTCTGGTTCTCGTTGTGTGGCTCCAAGTGCTCAGTTTGCTTCACACAGCCAGAGTGGATTCACCCCAGGAGGACTGACTCGTGCACCCACTCAGGAGAGACTGATAAAGTAGACGGTCAACTTACTATCTTACAAAGGGAGACCCAGCTTTCTAATGGTGGTGGTTTGTGCCTGGCTTAGAAACACCTCTCAAGATGATAGGACAAGAGGAAGCAGGCTGGATAGAGCCGGGAGGGGGTGACGCTAAGTCAGGGAGGACTCTGGTTTTGTTTTATTTTCTTTTCGGATGAGCATTCATGGTGCACATAAGAACCGAGGGTTAGGAGCAAAAGAAGGAGACCCAGGGCGGAGAGATGACTAATCTCGGAGGTGGAGGGACCAGAGGGTGGGTCTTGGTCGGGGTGAGGCCCCCTCCTGAGACTGGAAGAAGCAAAGGGCGGACGGAGATGAGATGGTGAGCGGTGGGTGGGCAGTTACACCTGTTGGGCTCACTTCTTCGGTGCGGTAGGAAGTCAGGGCACCGGCTGAGAGCCGGGAGGATGGCGGTTACGGAAAGGCCTCGGCGCTCCGGGTCATGGGAGGCTGTTGCCCGCCACGTGTGGAAACGACTGCCCTGCAGTTCCAAAGGCGGAGCTGACCCGTGGACTATAGCGTTGGTGTGGTTAAGAGTTTGTCGGGGAGACATGGGCTCCGGGGAACCAGGGATGCCTGTGGAAGAGCAATTTATGCACCTGCCTGGGGCTCATCCTGATTTTTCCTGTCTCTCATACCTCGTTCTTGGTATTATTTTTATCTTTTAAATGATTCTGTCTCCTAGATAGCTGTCCAGTTCTCAGCTGCCACACTTCCCGCCACAGTGCTGCTCACTTCCCCATGATCCAGACGCTGGGAGTGATAAATGCTGCCCTGCCATGTCATCTCCCCACCTCGGCGAGTTACTTTAGGATCAAGTCCACCCCCACCTTGGTGTGGTTGCTCGGGCTGACCCTATGCTCTGCTGCTGCAGGCCCTTCTCCTGCACATCTGCCCCCTGCCCGTTGCCGCCTCCTGTCCCCCGGCCTTAGCACCTTGCTGTCCAGCCCTGAGGCGCCTGCAGCTCCCTACACTTGGCACAGTCTCTTTCTTTTAATCTTTCATGTGTAACCTTCTCTTCTCCCCTCTTTCAGGAACACACTTCTGTCCTAACCATCTGGTCCTCTCCTGCTCAGCCTTCAAAATTCAACTAAATTCTAATAGTGAACCTAGAAATAGTAAGAAAAAGTCCCCCACAAACATGTCAAATACCCAACATTAGATAGAGTGGGTGTTGAGTAAATCAGCCATGATATAGCTGAGCAATGCCCGCCCACCATCAAAAATCAAATCACACCGAACTCCGAAGACATGGAAAGTGTGAATTAAACACGGGGGCCACAAAACGGGGCATGTGTCACAGTCCCTTTATTGCTGTTAAAAAACAGGAATTCATAGGAAAGAAGACTGGAGTAAAACAAAGATGCTGATGGAATTACTCTTTGGATGATGGTCTTACAAGTAATTTTCACTCCTTTTTATTTATCTTATTGGTAAAAAAAACAACAAAACCCTAAATAGACATATATTAACTTTATAAGAAACTAAAGGTCCCTTTATTTTTTAAACATCATCTGGATCAGCTTCTTGCCTCCATAGATTAGTAACTAAAATGTGAAAGAGGGAAAAAGGCAATCCAATAGCCACTGTCCTTGGGAAGTCCAGTCTGTGCTGGGCTCTAGGCTCGTGTGTGTGTGTGTGTGTGTGTGTGTGTGTGTGTGTGTGTCTCTCTCTCTCTCTCTCTCTCTCTCTCTCTCTCTCTGCCACCACCCTCCTCTCCCCCGAGGAGGGAACAGCCTGCCCAGGGATAGAAAGGGGTGGGCAGCCCTCTCTCTCCGAAGCTCACAGCCCAGGAATTGCCGCACTGTCAGGAGGGCTGGGAGAATGAACCGAGGAAGGGTTCCGAGGGTGTCTGGCAGTCGCCCTCCCTCGGGCCCTGCGAGCTGTATGCAGAATCCCAAGGGGCCAGGAGGAGCAGCTGGACAACGCGTGTCACTGGCCTATATAAGTAATAATAACTTCATTTACAATCAGTGGGACAATGCTCAGCTCTGTTTCAGAAGATAAAACAACACAACTTGGCATTTTCCTAACGTCCCTCTACATCTAAGAAAGACTTTGAAATAATAATACAAGGTACAGTTTTTCAGCCCATGAGTTGAAATAGTAAGCATTTTTCTAGGCAATGCAAAGGACTTGCTAGTCTTACTGAATTATTTATTGTATGGGTGAAGAGATGCAGTTGGCATTGAACTGTTCCTGACATTTCCAGTTTATTTGGTCATAAATAAAGGACGTTAAATGGCCTTTAATGGACCCGTTTCACTCAAGAGGCACAGCTGTGCATGTAGACTACAGTGTCAGACGGAGAGCGCTGCTGGGGTTGGGGGTGGGAAACAAAGTTCCATCAGGTCCTCAGGAGGTCCTCAAGATCTACCAGGGCCATCTGCGTTTCACACCTAAATCTCTTCAAAGGTAATTCCTGTGTTAACGAATCACAGTCGACTTATTATCCAACCAGGTTCACTAAAAAAACAAAAGTCAAGCCCTGACCAGTGGCTCCGTTGGTCGGAGAGTTATCCCATACACTGAAAAGTCTCGGGTTCAGTTCCTGGTCAGGGCACATGCCCTGGCTGCGATTCCTTCCCTGGTCAGGGCGAGCAGAGGAGGCAGCGGATCGGTGTTTCCCTCTCACATGGATTTTTTTTTTTCTCTCTCTCCCTCTCCTTTCCACTCTCTCTAAAATCAATTTTAAAAAGTCCCCTTTAAAAAACAAACAACAAAAGAAGTCCAACAGAAGAATAAATGTCTATCCGCTCCACCCCAAGTTTTCTTTAGCATGTTAGCAATTCTATAATCATGAGACAGAAAAGAATCACTTGTGCTTTAAACCCTTCCATGCACCTGGAAAGAAAGGGAGATTTAGGAGGGGACTCTGGAGCACTCAGCCCCAGGCTCCAAGTCTTTCTCCACCACAAATAAGGCCTTTGAGCCCTGCCGGGTGTGGCTCAGCAGTTGAGCAATGACCTAGGGATCCAGGAGATCCGGTTCAATTCCCAGTCAGGGCACATGCCCAGGTTGCGAGCTCAGTCCCTAGTGGGGGGTGTGCAGGAGGCAGCCGATCAATGACTCTCTCATCATTGATGTTTCTCTCTCCCTCTCCCTTCCTCTGTCTGAAATCAAAAAAGACATATTAAAAAAATAATAATAAGGCCTTTGACTCCCCCCACCCCTTTCCACGTCCTGACACACATGTAAAATGACAGCATGCGTGTGGCACACAGGATGTGGGTAAATGGAGGCAGCGAGTGTGGGGCCTCGGATAAGGGTCAGCCTGTGAAAGGTTACCCACGCTGGGCTGGCCTGTTGGAAGCTCAGCGTAAAACAGGGCCTGACGCTGGAGAAGATGAAGGAAGCAAATGTAGCGATCACAGGACCATGGTCAACCTTCCACCCTCCCCAAGTGTGAGCTCAGGGGTGATGAAAAAGAAAGAAATGCAGGAAATGAAGTAACACAGGCAGGCCAGGAAACGGGGGTCAGTGTCCTGGAGTGTGGCAGAGATTAAAGCGGAAATACAGTTCCCCAGCTCTGTCACCCGAGCTCCTCTCATAAGCAAGCTGTTGGGTTTTAATTTGGCCACTGTGACTATGTGAGCATGGGGTGAGCTCATTATAAATACCAAGCCAAGAGGAAAGTGCAATATGAAAACTGTGACAAGCTTCCGCAAAGGCGGATGGAGCCCGTTGGTAGCAGGTTCTTATTAGATTTAAGGGTGTGCCCCAGGGTCCACCTTCAGCTTGGCTCTGCAGAAACTCTGCTTCTGGGCCTTCAGAGGCGGCACTTGAGGCCAAGGGGCTGAAGAGGCTGGAGCTGAGCTTGTGTTGAAAAGATTGAGCAGGTGTCGCAGGAGAAACCAGGGATCCCGCCTCCCCGGGGGCGACTAAGCCTGCAAATGCCTTCAATGGGTCAGGGACCGCGCTGGTGGCTTCTCCACAACGATCCTGTCCAGTTGGTGTTAATGTCCCATTTCACAGATAAGGAAACTGAGGCTCTTTGTCAGATGGAGGCAATGAGGTGTAGAGAGGTCCCAACTAAACTAGCAGGTAGTGGAGCCCAAACTGGAGCCCAGGCCTGCCCGACTGCAAAGCTTATTTACACCCCGACCCCCTCACTAAACCGCCGAGCGCCCCGAGAACGCGCAAAGGGCTCCGTCGGGTGCCCCCAGGGACCCACACTGCGCCCTGCCCACGGGCCTGACTCCGCTCCCCCGCGGGAAGGAGAGAAGGGCTCCCGACCCGCGTCAGTGGCCTGGGCGGCATCTGGCCCCGACATGGCCGTTCCCGGCCCCTGGCCCCCTGGTAGCCCCATGTTAGCCCCCCCTTTCCTCCCTGCGAGCCTACATCTGAACCGCTATGTGGGCGGTGGGGGGCAGGGGGCCAGCATCTGCACACCCCGGGCGGGATCCGCCTCGCGCCCACCCCGCGCGCCCTCCCACCTCCGGGGTGCCCCGAGACCCCTTCATCCCCGGGCACCC